CCTGCAGGGTCCTGCAAAGCCTGACTGGCCCTGGTTTGGATTGGCCTGGGTCAGTAGATCCCCAAGGTACGGGGCCCAAAGGTATACACCGCCACCGCCTCCCTCAGCCATGCCCTCTCCAAGGAGAGAGGGGAGGAAGACGAGGGTGGAGGAGGGAGGAGGAATCGACATGGTGGTGGTGTGTATTCTTGGGGCCCGCACAAGGGTGGCGGGCGGGACGACAACAAGCAACAAGCAACGACGAACATCCGCACCGCGGGTACCCACTTCGGCCACGCACGCCGTGACGGTGTAAGGCCGTTTGGCCGCCTCACTCTCGCATGCTTCCCTGCGTGGACTCCAGACCGGACTCTTGCGCTCTCGATGTGCGCTGGGTGGTGCGGTCCACATCGCGCGCTGCGATCAGGCACGCGTGAGGCTCGCTGAGACCATCCTCGAGCTGCCATACCATGGACGTGTGAAAGGCCCGCACGTGTTCCCCGCCCCCCTCCGCCTCCTCCCCTTCCCCTTCTCACTACTCCTCTCGGCGGCGAACCCGGTGGGGAAGTGAGAAGGAGAAGGCCTTCTCAGAAGGTTCGGAAGTCCCCCGGCCTTTCTGAGAAGGCTTCCAGGCCTTCCCCGAAGACCAAAAAGAAGCTTTCTCAGAAGGCGCGAGGGCCTCTGAGAAGCCCCGCCGCCTTCTGAGAGGGCCTTCTCCTTCTCATTTCCCCCCCTCGCTCGCCGCCGATTCTCTCCCTGACCCTCCTCCTCCTTGCACCTCCCCGTCGCCCTGCGCAGGTCCCGGGGTCGCCCGAGGACGCGAGACGACCTGGGCGCCGCGCACCTCCTCTGCCCGTGCCGCCGCCGTCGTGGAGCCTACACCTAGACATCCTGCAGCCGGGAGGCCCCGCGCGTGGGGAGGAGGAGGAGGAGGAGGAGGAGGAGGAGGAGGAGGAGGAGGAGGAGGAGGAGGAGGTGGATTTTGTTTCCTCCGCGAGGCCATTCACTTCTGAAAAACGGAAGCCGCAGCGAGGGAATACGGCTTCCCTTGGTCGGTTACCTGAGGCTCAGGTAACCTGTGACCAAGGCCCGACCTGGACAGTGACTCCTGGAAATTTCGGGTGAATGCCCTGGGAAACCTGCTTCCAAGCGAATCTGGCTCCCGCACTTGTGGGGAGACCGTGACAATTGCGCGCAACGGTGCGCACCAAACCGTGCCCAGGGTAGGCCTTGCTTCTTAAACACACCACTAAAGAAGCGCCACCTGAGCATTCAAGGTTGATGACTCGGTGCTGGAGCCTGCTCAACACATCAGGGTCTAGCTTCTGTAGGCCCCGACAATGACCAGGCTGCGGAAGACTGTCGGGGCGGGAGACCTTACAGCAACCATCACAACGCCAGAATCTCGAGAGGCGAGTCCAGCGGGTGTGGGGCGAGGTCGGCACGGGGCGCCGCAGGCGGTTTCTCACGCTCAACTCCTTCTCCTAGCCGCAGGGGCGGCCAGCGGGGCAGCAACTTTGCTGCCAGAACACCGACCGCGCGCGAGACAGCAATATTCTGATCCACGGCCTGCGTATCGAGCGAGTCAGGCTGAGGGTGAGAGCGGGCGGCAACTTTGGCAGAAACGTCGGCTAGGTTGTTCCCCCAGTCGCTTAAATGTATCATCAGAATCTGTGGATGCATCCACATCTAGGTGCGCCTTAACCTTCTGCATGTTGATGTTGGGAAGGTTTTGGCGATTGAACTGAGCGCAGCCAGCATACATTTTCTTGTGAGAAGTCTGGCTCACCCAGGACATTCTCACATAATCGCACACGTTTAAACAGTCACTGAAAATCGTGGAAAGCCCACTGAGATGCCGAGCGGCTGCAGTGAAGGCGTGATGCTCTGCGATTTGAGGGGTTTGGGGATAGGGAGGCCAGACGGGACCCCTGATGCGAATAACCTCCTCGTGTGTCCGACGATCCAGCAGAGTAGCAGCCCAGCCCGCTCGGGACAACTCAGGCATTACATGGTTGAAACAGGACCCGTCCACGAAGATTTCACCAGAAAACGAGGTTTCGAAATCCAGGTGCTCGAAGCCTGGGCATAACCCGGTAACAACTCCATCTAAATACATAGGGTGATGATGTTTTTCACCTGGATGCTCGAAAACTCCAAAGGAAACTCGAACATCATCGGCTTTGTTCAGCCCATTCGCGCACCTTAGAAGGGATGAGGGAGGCACGAGCAACCTCGCAAGCAGAACATTTCCATAATCTGTGCCTAGGTGTGTCGTCGGCGTCTCCACACAGATCGCAAGTGGTCGAGATCTTGTACCCTAACCCTCGAGCGCGAGATCGGGTATAGATCGCATGGCAGAACAACGATCGGATGCATGCCTTCTCGAACGGAGTCATCTTCTTGCTACGAAGCCAAGACGCGGTACCGTCACAACAGGCACGGCCAACATTGAGCCTGGCCCCAAGATCCCACTCGAGCGTCCTGGTGACCGCCCGCTTCAAAAGGGACCTAACCATGGCAGGCGAGACTTCCATCAAGTGAATGAATATATATATATATATATATATATATATATATATATATATATATATATATGCCGCGATCGTTGCGGGGCACTGAAAAAGGGCATGGACCACGGGATTCTCTCAAGAGACTTCCTCGTCGCGCTGATCGGGCCCGGCGCGGACCTCCACGACCCGGAGCCCCTGGAGAACACGGCGTTTCAAGCCGAACGAAGCGTGGCGAACGAGGTGGAAAATGGGTAAAGTCTGCGGTGCGCGATCCAGACTTCCTTGGCCCATCTCGCAATCGGGGCCACAGCAGCACTCCAAGTGGGGTCGCCGTGGCGCAGGGGGAGCGCGGTTGTGCCGGCGGCTTCACAGCCTCCCCTGCAAGCAGCCGCAGCTGTCGGTGGTCGAAGTCCGAAATACCGAAAACGTCGCAACCGTAGGTGGCACCTGGAAGGGGGCCAGCCGAGAAACAATTCATGCGCCGCTGCCCACCAATGGTGGGTCGAAGCCTCGTCACACGCGCAGCGCGGTCCTTAGTTTTTTTCGTGCCCTGCTTGGCCTTCGACGACCTACCCCGGCACCGACGCGGCCTGCCGGCAGCGTCGTCGATGCCCAAGTTCGCGGCCGAGGACGCGCCCACCACGGGCCCCGCAAGACCTCCAAGGGCCCGAGCCGGGCCCTTCCCAAGAGAACGATTAGGGCAGACCAGCGACAATTTTCCAGGGCTGACCTGGGCCCCCCACCCCTTCCACAAAAGCCGCGCGCAGAGCGCGCGCAGCAGGCGGGAGGTGGGCGAGGATGAATCTGGACGCGCCGATGGCCGAAAGCCCTGAGTCATCAATCTGCATCTTAAGCTGGATCTGATTAGGAAGCCTCAAAGGGTCGAGGGGCAAAATGGAGTTCACCCGAATGAATGTCGCAGCGATGGAACAGCCCGCAATGACCCCGCACCACGCCCAGTAGGGACCGTCGATGAAGCCTCCGTGAGAGAGAAACCTGGCCTGGGAGTGCATAGCAATACGCAGGTACGCCAGTCCGAGGGGGAAGTTCGTGACGTGACATCTGTAGGCCAAGAGCTTCAAATCCAGAAGCTCGTAGTATTTGTAAAGATCGGTCAGGGCGGTGGCGGCTTCGTCTCCTGCCGAGGTGCTGCCTTCGGCCGCGAGCGCTTGCCACCAAACAACGTCTTGGGCACCTTCGAGGGCACCTGCGCAAAAGTGGGGCCCCGTGTGCCCTCGCTCCCACGCATCGGCCAACTCCCTTTTGATTTTACCGTAAACGCGGAACACAGCACAACAAATCCCGATGGGCCGAAAACCCCCAAGGGGCTTGGCCAACAAGGCCATGATCGCAACAGGCAGCTGCACGGGGACGAGAGCCGCACGCCCCATGACGGCCAGCATGTCGCACAGAGCCTGAAGCAAATCATCGGCAAGCAGAGAGAAATGTTTCATATGGAACACGTCGACCGAAACAGCAGCGTTTTCTTTGAACCGTCTGGACACGTCTCGAATCTGGTCAGGAGTGATGGGCGGCAGGTGGGGGCTCGACACCCCATGCGGGAACCAGGGGGCCTCCGAGGCACCCCCCAGCAATTGAGAAAACTTCAGCTCGGGGCAGGGAGAGCGGGCCAGCCGCAGTGATACCGTCAGACGACAGCGTCGTCGTGGGCGCCCAAAGAGCGGTTCCCTTGGAGACCATGTAGATGCGCTCGGCACCCTCGTCAGCAGAGTAGATCAGCCAATCGCGCCATTCCCTGGGCGACTCGCGGCGAGCCTCATCTTCAACATCTTTCAATGTTCCGTAAAGGTGGCCATGAGGCCGAGGAGCTGGCCGTGCAGAAACTCGCCAACTTCGCAGAGCCCAGCGCCAGGATCCTGCCCTCGAAGGTGCGCAACCCACGAGTCGAGACATTGGAAGGGGGCCGGAGTGGAAGGAGGATTCATTGGCGGCTAGGATCCCGGCTAAGGCCGCGGCTGGCTCAGCAAGTGAACTTCGAAGCTCAATCAGCGCGGCGACAGTGGCAGGCGCATCCCTGCGCCCGCGGGCCCAGTCGCCCCGCGAACCTTGCAGCGAGCGGAAAAAGTTGTGCATCCAGCGGTGCAGGTGCAGAGTGGGCTGCTTGGGCACCTGGGCGCTCTCGTCAATAATGCTTTTTCCAGACTAGCCTGTTGCCCCGACCCCTAGCACCCCTAAAGGGCACCTCGGCCCCCGTGACCCAAAAGAGAGCCCTTTCGGCCGCGTCTGCCCACTGGCGGTGCAGTTTATCGAGCGCGCCCTGCGTGGCGACGAAGTCCTCCGCGTCGGCAGACTGAAACGCTCGGGCACTGAGCCGAGAAAAACCGCCCCCCTGGCCCGAGAAGGCGGCCAGCGAACAAATGGGAGGAAGGGGCTTATGGGGAATGGGGGGGGTGCTAAACCCCAAAGCCTTGATATTAGATCGGCAAGGATGAAACTGGACTTGCGCAGGGAGGCGCGGGGAGAGATCGCTATCCCGAGTGGCTTGTACTCCCGAAGCGCCCTTGCGCAGGCCGGTGATCGCTAAGAAGTAATCGTAAGTATTAATTCCCCCAGTGTTCGTGCAAGTGTGGCCATCAGGAACAATCCACTGCCCATTGGTGCGTCCGTCGAGGTCTGTTTCCACGATTTGAGAAGGGTCCACGTTGAAACCGCCCCCCAGGATCACAGGATATCCAAGGGTCTCCACGAGGGCACCACAAGCGCCCATGATCGAGAGGTTGTTGTCGAACAGCCCCTCCGCGTCGTGGAAGTAAATACTGACGCATAAAGCCTGGAGTTGGTCGGGCAACGCAGCGACAGCGGCGACTGCGCGATGCGGCCATACTTCAGGCCCAGAAGGAAGCTCGAACATGCCTAGACCCGCTCTGGCAAGCACCGCGACTCCAGCATTCAGACCCCCTTCGGGCCCGCGACCTGCTGGCAAGAACGTGGATTTCCATCCATTGCGCACGCGCCAGCTGCTAGCCGACGCGAGATTGTCAGAGTGCAGGCGATGTTCTTGAAGAAGTACAATGTCCGCTCTGGTCTGGAGCAACCACTTCTGAGCGCTGCCCCAGCGCGTTTCCACGAGTGGCGCACGCTGTCCCTGGGGGGCTCCGTCTGGCCTCGGAGGGGTGCAGAGGGGCGGGCCAAGAGAGCCATCGACCTCGGCAGGCATCCGAGGAGCTTTCAGAACCATAGCCTGAGGCGAAATGGCGACGTGCTGGGCCCCATCAAGAACCAAGCTCGAACACAGACGGGCCGTGAGAAGGGGGGCGCTACAGGCACGGCCAGGCCTTCAGAAACCAGATTAGGGGTGACCTCGATGGGGCCCTGGAAGACCTGGGGGCCCGCGGGGCCCTTGCACAGGACCCCGCGGACGCGAGCATGCAGGGTCTTGAGGAGGGCCTGACATGAGGGCCTGGCTGGGGACGGACCACTGAGATCCACGCAACTCCCAAGTTCGACCCCAACATCAGACGGCGCGCCAGCCCAGTGTTGGACCAGGAAGAAATCGTCGGGCCCATCAAAGGCCAGGACCGCAAAATCGAGACTAATGGCGACGGGGTCCTGTCTCACGGGGTGGGCGCCAAAACTTGAGTGAACATGCCGACTGGGAGATAATCAGTCGAGATCCGAACAGTTGACATCCAGAGAAACCCACGCCTGAACCCAACGGAGGAGGGGGACCGAGCGCGGCCCGAGGAGCAGGCCCAGGAGAGGGGTTCAGGTCGGGGCCCCATTGGGGCCCCAGTCCAAATGACCGACGGGCAGGGTGAACCCACGCCGTGGTCCCCCCCCCCCCCGCTGGGCTGCGCGAGGGCCGCAGCAGCAGCAGCGGAAGGGGCCTTGTTTGTGAAATCTCGGCGGCCCGAGCCCCAGGGGCAATGGCCTCAGAAGACGGAGCAGGCGTAGAAGAGGATGCCGTAAGCGAAGCCCTGGGACCAGCTGCGCCAGCTGCGCCGCCAGTTGCGCCCTCGGGAGACTCCGCCTTGGCTGCCGCTGCCTCCGAGTGGACATCAGCAGGGCCGTCGGCTGGTGGCTACCCCCCCCCCCCCCCTCGCGCACACAGCGACGTTTGCCCGCCATGCGCTTGACCTCCTGGGCATGCTGCGCCAGGAATTGTTTGGAGTGCTCAGCCATGCCACCGAAGAGATCCCTGACAGACTGCTGAAGGGCTTCCTTGGGCTTGGCAGCTCCGTTGTCGATCGTATATCTCTCCTGCTGCGAAATCTCATTATATTCAGAGGTGGGGCCGACCAATGAATCAACGCTGATTGGGATGTCCTGGTAGTTGCGCTCCAGGATGTCCTTGATATCGAGCCTGCGTGGCTTCTCACAAGCCGAGGCGCTGAGCTTGGCGACCAAGTCCTGATGCTAATGTTCTGCAAGAGCCGAGGCTTCCGAGCATTCACGTACCTTAGACTGTTGCGTAGAGAGCTCCTCAACCAATCGTTCATAATGAGTGCTAGCCTTGTCACAGCTGTCCCTGCAGCTCCGAAGATCTCGAAAAAGGCTCTGTTGACTTGCTGACTGAGGGGCACCTCCACTTCCATAGCTTTCTTGCGGGTGGAGAGGGCCTCCTTCTGCTTGGCTGCCCCCCTGCGCGTCCCCGCACTTCTCGAGTAAACGAACGAGCTGCTCCAACTCCGCAATGGTCGGTTCCGTCTGCTCAACTGCCACTGGTTGCTGAGCCATGAATTGAGGTCCAGCACGAAAACAAAGTGGGCCACGCTGGTACTGGTGCCAGTGTCATTGCGTCCAGGCCCTGCTCCCTTGGCCTGCTGACCAGCCCGTGCCGTCGGGTTGCCCTGAGGGGGCTGCCCACCCCGCGCCGCCAGGAGCACCAGCAGGAGGAGCAGGCGGAGGCGGCACCTGCTCCCTTGCTTTCACCGCCTCGCGGGCGGCGCTCTAGCGAGCACACGAAGTCCAGCCAAGGTGAGTGACCAGGTGGAAAAACCTGAGCCTGAATGCGCTTGAGGGAGGAGGAGGAGGAAGAGGAAAAGGAGGAGGAGGAGGAGGAGGAGGAGCAGGAGGAGGAGGAGGAAGAGGAGGAGGAGGAGGAGGAGAAGGAGGAGGAGGAACAGGAGGAGGAGAGGAGGAGGAGGAGGAGGAGGAGGAGGAGGAGGAGGAGGAGGAGGAGGGAGGAGGAGGAGGAGGAGGAAAAAGGAGGAGGAGCAGGAGGAGGAGGAGGAGGAGGAGGAGGAGGAGGGAGGAGGAGGGAGGAGGAGCAGGAGGAGGAGGCTCAGGCCGTGAAGACCTTGTGCAGCGAAACCCCATGCCAAGGAACACGCTGCTTGCCCCCAGGGTGCCCTGGGTGTCTGGGGCTTCGATGGTTTTGCGATGGAGAGCGCGACGCTCCCGCGCCAAACATCTGTGCACGTCCTGGGGTCTCGGGGCTGGCTCTCTTGTGGGAGGCTTCTTGTGGTCGGGCCCCCATTGCACGCGGGCAGCAATCCGAGAGTGGCAAGGCGCGTTTGCGCACCGGGGTACGGCAAGTTCAAGAGAAGCGGTGGCGCGAGCCTGGCATGCAACGTCTTGAACCAACCAGGACGGATGTTTCCTAGTTTTCGACCTCCGACCTCTGGCGTGCCCTCGCTCAAGGCCTCCCAGATGGGGTCGGAGAAGATAGGGTCGGAGGGTCGCGCCGCATCGCCGATGCGTCGGCGATGCGGTTTGATGTGGAGTTCGATGTGGCCTTTCTTCCCCCCAGTCTGTTTCCTGTCGCCCTCAACCCAGCGCCCGAGACACTCACTCCTGGAAATGTATGACGGGAGGTTTTCTTCACCACGCGCGCGAGCGCCTGCTAGTTTTCACCCGGTTGTGCCCTGAGCGGTCGCCCCTTCGCGGGCATAGAGGCTTGACCCTTTGACCTCACCCAGCGCCCGACGGGTCTTCAGCACGCGGGGACCCTGGGCACGTCTTCCACCCACCAGCAGAGCCCGTGCGGCAAGGTGGTGGAGTCCAGCGCTTTTCAGGAGGTCACACTTTCAGCGCGCATCGTCCACGTCCAGAGCTTACGCTCGGCCCCACGGTCCACGTGCAGTATCCCGTCTTTGCCACTTCCCCTTCGCCTCATCCTTTCTGCTCCTCGTCCTCCTCTCATCTTGCTGCTCTTCGCCCCCTCCCTGATCTCGTTCCTCGCCCCCCCCCCGTCCCCCCTCCCCTCCTCCCCCCACTCCCCTCCTCCCTTTCCCCCCCCCCCCCCGGCCCCCTCCCTCTCTTCGCCGCCTCCCTTCCCCGCCCCCCTGCCCCCGAGCCCGCTCGGAACCCCGAGGCGGCGCGTGGCCGCGGGGCCCGGCGTCGTCGCTGATCCACCAGGGGCTCGAGTTCAGCAGCGCCAGGCCCCTCCTCCCTCCTCCTCCCCCTCCCCCTCCCCTCCCCCTCCCCCTCTCCTCCTCCTCCCTCTCCTCCTCCTCCTCCTCCTCCTCCTGCTCCTGCTCCTCCTCCTCCTCCCCCCCCCCCCCGGGGGGCGTCGCGTCGCTGGGGGATCCGGCGGCGGCACGAGACGTATCCCAGGAGTCCCTTTGCCGGCAGCGGGAGGGGGAGGTGTGAACGAGATTCAGGAGGGACAAAAACACACAGACACAATGAATCGTCGATTCCCCAGAAAATATAAGAAAATATAGGAAGTGGGGGGGGGGACAAAAACCCAGAAGATATGGGAAAAGATTGGGAATCTTGTTATTTGTGTCTATTTCTTTGTGTGTTTGTGGGACTCTTTAGAGATGGAGGAGAGCCAGGGCAGGCCCAGGACGCATCGGCGATGCTGCAGTTCACCCTCCCGTCCCGAGTCCCCTCCTCTTCTCCGAGTCCTTGCAGAGGTTCTTCCCCGCTGGGGGAGGCGCCCCCTGTTGAAGGAGCAGCACGCTCAGGTCTGCCATGTTGGCGCAGGCCCGGCTTTGCAAAGCAGCTGCCTCTTGCAGCCTCCTGGTGCGTAGTAAGACACGCGACAGGCAGCGATCACAAGCGAGGCCACGTCCCGTAGAGAACCTAGCCTCCACCGTCCCAGCTCGAAGAAGCGCAGCGAAGATTGATGATACGGGTCGGAGAAGAGTCTGACGGCCCCGTCTTTAAAAGGATTTGCCCTCCCCGTGTGTAAGTGGTACACAGTTTCAGATATTGGTCATCATTGTTGCGACACTCTCAAGCGAGAGCCCCATTTTCAGAAGCAAGCGCCCTCCACTGTGTAGACTCGTGGTGGTATTTGTTTGAGGAAGTTGCCGGGGAGCCTTATATTGGAAACTTACCAGCCTCCACCCGTGTAATTGTTGCAATCTATCGATGCGAATGTGCGCGTCGCTATGCCAGAGTCGCATTTTTGTCACACGTGGCAGCCTCCAACCTTGTGTCTGTTGGAATATTCCAAAGCGAATGTGAGCGGCGGTACTGCGAGAGCCCACCTTTGACACCCACCAGCCTTCATCCGTGTAACTCTTGCAATATTTGAACACGAATGTGCACGGCGCTGATGCGAGGGTGGCATGCCGAGTTCTTCCGGCCATACATTATTGCAGCGGTTGGAAGTTTTCAAAACAGTTGTGCGTGGCGCCAAGACGAGATCCGTAATCATTTTACAAAAGATCAGCCCTCAGTCCCAGTAATTGTTGGTGAAGTTGTTGAACTTCGGGAAAATCTGTTGTGAGGGCGTCTCAAGCGAAACGTCTGGCCTGGCCGATGTACGGACGCTTCTGGTGCTGCCACAGAGGAGTGCTGCTTCTATGGGAGAGGGACGGGCAAGGAGGGGCAGGAGGAAGAGGAGCAGCAGCGGGGGGAGGGGGAGGGGCGGGAGGAAGAGGGTCAGGAGGAAGAGGGGAGGAGCAGTGGCGAGAGGAAGAGGGGCAGGAGGGAGAGGAGCAGCAGCGGGGGGAGGGGGAGGGGAAAATGAAGGAGGGCCCGCGTGCAGCACGAGTCGTGCAGCTGAGGACAGGAGCACGCGTCACCTGGTGTGCACTACTCACCTCGCACTTAACTGTACCAAGCAGGTCTGCGAGCTTAGACAGGGCGGAACGCGAAGTGTTCAGCTAGAACACATGGTCCTGCTTGCCCCGCCAGGGGTTTAGCGGTGTTGGGATGCTTGCCTGCCCCGATGGCGGCAATGCTGGCACGTTGCGGGGCTCTGGTGGAGGGCTCCTCAGACGACCCCCTGCATTCATCGAACAGCCGCGAATGACCACTGCGCCTGCCTCTTCACTCCCTCTACTCCCCCTCCTCCACCTCTTCCTCCTGCTGCTGAGTCCTGGGTCCTGAAGGCGGAAAGGTCGTCCAGACGTTTGCCCTCCCCTCCCCAGGGTCGGTCGGCCCCGGAGAGGTTAATGAAACTAAGAGCCTGGCGAAGGTCATCGCTGGCTGGTAACGTTAAAGAACAATGTGTAAGCTCCGTGGCGGCTGCTTTCTGGCCATAACGCTCGGGAAACGATATGCTACAATACCGTTATGTTTTATGGTCGGGTCGGACGCACGCCTCCGAGGAGGACACGGTACCGGGATGCCCCTGTGCGTCCTCCGCTCCTTCCCCTCCTCCTCCTCCTCCTCCTCCTCCTCCTCCTCCTCCTCCTCCTCCTCCTCCTCCTCCTCCTCCCGCTGTCCCTTCTTTCTTCGGCAGGCCAGACGGCGAACGAGAGCACTCCCAGCTCTCCTCCCCGCTCGCCCCCTCCGCTCCCGCGGAGGACCTCCCCCGCTCCCCGCCCCCGCGGAGGACCTCCCCGGCTCCTCTCCTCCCGGCTCTCCTCCCCGCTCGCCCCCTCCGCTCCCCGCTCCACCCCCCCCCGCCCCCGCGGAGGACCTCCCTCTCGCCGAGCGCCGCCGCGGAGGACCCCCCCCCCCCCCCTCCGCGCCCGCCCCCCCCCCCCCCCCCCTTTGGGAGTGGGGGGGGGGACTCGGAGGAGGGCAAGGTACCCATACTGCTACTCTTGCCGCCTCGTTTTCCAATTGTTTGGGCCTCCCGCGAGGTCCTCGTCGCCACCGCTGGGTTCGCCTCGAAACTCTGGTTAGAATGCACCCCAGGGTGGGGACTCGGAGGAGGACAAGGTACCCAGACTGTCGGGGGTGGACAGACCCCCCAACCCAGACACGCCAATTGGTGAACTGTCCGTTTTGGGTTCTCGAGAGGGTGCCGCGGCCGTCGTTTCCCAGGCTTGCGCCCGCCAGGTTTGGGCCCGAGATCGTTTTCACTAAACCCGAGATCGTTTTGCACGTTTTCCAATTTTTGGGGCCTCCCGCGAGGTCCTCGTCGCCACCGCTGGATTCGCTTCGAAATTCTGGTTAAAACGCACCCCAGGAGAGGTCCGGGGAGTGGCGGTATGGGTACCTTGTGGTTTCCCCAGGGGGGCGCGCTGGAAGCAGTGGGGCGAATAAGGAGAGGAGCGATGATGGCGCGAGAGGGGTGGTGGGGGACTGGGAGGGGGAGCGGGATGGGGAGCGAGGAGTGCGGGGAGGACGGGCGAGGAAGAGGGGAGGAGGAGGACGGGGAGGGGAGCGAGGAGGACAATGAGGAGGGGCGAGGAGGGGGCAGGAGGAGGAGGAGGAGGAGGAGGAGGAGGAGGAGGAGGAGCAGGAGGAGGCAACCGCGGGGAGCTCTACGCCGCCACCCAGGCCCTCACTCGTGTTCAGGGAGATGTTACGTTGGTCTTGGACTCCAGCTATGTGTATCGGGGAGCTCTGAGGAGTCCTAGATGGAAACCGCGTTCGAACGCCGACTTAGGGCACGAATTTGGGACCGCCTATGAGGCCCATGATGGTCTCATTGAGGTTCACCAAACCATGTCCCACCCCTCCTATGATGACTGGGGCAAGTCTAATATTCAGCAGTGGGCATACTTAGCCAATTCGTTCGCTGCCGAGATAGCCGCAGATGATACCTCGAATGTCCAGCTTCCCCAGGCAGTGCTTGACCGTCTCGACGCTGCCGACGCCGAGATGTTACTCAATTCGGCCCGCCTTGCCACCATTCAGGTCAAGTTCTGGGGAGATGTCACAGTGCCCCGCCCCTCCGCGACCCAAACAGCC